TATCTCATTCTCACATTTGGGGATCTAATACAACTTGTATTAAATGCCACCACAAGCCTCTAAGAAGTGTCTCTCATACCTGTTGGGCTTCCAGTGCTGGTGGCCCCAGTGCTGGATTGTCCAGTTGGGTTGCCCCTGCCTGCTTTTGAGGTTGTTACCAGAGACTCTCCGGTTGTACCTGACAAACACAATAACAGTGCTTGCAATATATGCTACTTCCTCTGAAGGAGGACATGAGAAGATCCAGGCAAAATTTTCATCTTTTTTACATTTTTGCGGTTTACCCAACAACCTACATGCTTTGATATTGTATGCATTTCATAGACACCAAGCACACATCCTGACTTACCTGAAGTTCCTGTGCTTGTAGCTCCAGTGCTGGGTTTGCTAGCTGTGGTGCCCTCCTCCCCAATAGGTGTTGGTGTACTTGGGCTTCTCGTGCCTCCTGATTTTTTTTTAAAAAAAGCATTTCATATTGTCTTATGCATAAAACAAAACTTTAAATCTCATAAACATCCTCTCAAAGCAGCTACATTATTCATCTCACTTGTCAAAAATGGTTAAATGATGTGCTCTGGTCATCCAGTTGGAAGCTAGAAAACCAGACAGCCAAACTTCAATCACCTATTTCTAATTTTATGCTGTACCCAGTGCTGCTCAAAAGATCTCTGACAACAGGCCAAATTTTATTATCCTCATCTCTGCTAGAGGTATGGTTTTCAAAATGTTATAAAATAAATACTAATAAAAAATCTAAGTAAATAAGACCATATAACATACTAATTTTTCTTCAACAGTAAAATACTATTATGTTAAAATTCTTTGTTTGCAAATGCTTGCTCTGTTTCACTTCTGATCACATCATAGGCTTTTAACAAACACAATGAGCCACACATTCCTGGACCAATATTGAATTGCCCTGTTCAAATACCTTAGTGTCTGATAATTGCGGAAGATCTCTGAATGAAACAACCTTATTAACCAAGTAATTCTGTATCAGACTTTTGGAATATAAACAGAATGGTCAACACTTTAAATTTCAATAAATTTACTGATCCAATGGGAATTACCTAGTTTCATTTTTAATCCTTTAATGCATAAGGTATACTGTTTAAGTCAGTAATTTCAAAAACTAGAGCTTATTCAAAAGACTATTCATCATAAATATTAAATCAAAACAATAGATAACCAAAAATGAGTGTGTGGGAAACACAACCAGCCTATAGATTATTAAATTCTTAAGACCTCATATGCATACATGACACAAAGGCCTCCAAATGATATATAAATTTTTGAATTATCTTAAAAGATATCAGAACTCTTTAAGTACTCTAAGTAATACAGACACAGGATGAGAGGTGAGCTTAAAAAAGCCCTCTGACATGACATTTATAGAGTGTAAACTGGGAGTGAAGTTGGGAAAAAGTGGGAACTGTGGAGATATGTTTCTCAACCATGAGCATCAATTCCCTAAATAATTGGTGGACTCCACCCACCCAATAGAATTTCCAATTCTCTGCCAGTGGACTACAAAATATGCACTTGTAATAAAATCCCACAGGATTCCAATGTTGCTGTTCCAGGAACAACACTGAGCACCATGGAGTTAGAGGAGGAAGGTAAGCAAGGCAGAGGAATGCAGGGACTGGGTAAAAGGGCTTACCATGTGAATAAAACACAGAAAATGGGCTACAAGGGAAGACAGTTCAGAGGTCCTTAAACTTTGTAACTGATGGCATCAGAGAGTTTAAAATTGAGTCATTTTTGTTTTCAATCTAAATTATCTATGTCCAGTATTGTCAATAGTATTGTATTCCTGGTCCTACACTGGCTGAATTTAATCATGCATATCCACAAGCATATTCTGCTTGGCTTTTGTTGGAAATGAGCTCTATTACACTGGTCACACCATTGAGAAAGCAGCTATTGCCCATCAGGTTCAGAGTTCATGTTCTAACTAGGCTTTGTAAACTGAGGAACATTTATTTTCTATCTTATGACAATAAACATTTATAATGTGTTAAGCCTTACTATTTTTTACAAAGAATATACTTGAAAGTAAATCAGATATTTTAAAGAACAAAAATGTGTATCATTAATATTTCAAATGCAAATGCAAGTACTTACATGAATTGCACAAAGTCATGGAATTCACTTGTGTAACTATTAAATTGGCCTCTTTGTTTTAGGCTATACTCAGAGTGGTGATTGCTATAGTTAAATGTGTTGGTTGGAATGTTGTGTTTGATTCATAACTTTGTTTCACCTGACTGAAAGCTGAGTCATTCCTATGGGTTCTTAAAGTTACACCTGATGACATTTTAGTTGTTCCCTAGGTAGCTTGAAAAAAAAAATGATACAACTGTACAAATGGCAAAAAAGCAAACAATCCTGCATGAAGCCTTCAACAATCAATGGGTGCATGTACTTGTAAAGTAATATTGCATAAGGAAGCAACATACTGAAAGTTTAATGATATTAGACTTTAATATATTTTAAATCTAATGATATCAAAAGGCTAATGATATTAAATTTTAATTATACATGAGAAAAACCACCTAAGTCAGGTACTTTATTAAGAAAAATATTGTCCAAGAAGCATTGCCTGAAACCATTTGCTTGGCTGAGGCCAATGTAATTGCTCTGAACTGGGCTTACCTGATGTACCACCAGGACTGGTAATGCTGGGGCTCAGTCCTCCTGTGGTGCCTGCACTTTTAGCTGTGGAGGTGATGGGACCTGAAGTTCCAGTAGAGCCTGAGAAGTACATCAAAGGAAATTTGCACCTACAGTCTACTTGGACTTTATTACCAATGGCTAATCTAACTGTCCATTCACACATAAGAGATGAAAATTTTAATAAATGCATCCAGTGACATAGTATCTAGAGATGCTTATGACTTTGTGCTTTCAAGTTTTCTTAAACCTTTCAAGTTAGTTACTGCACTTTTTTGTTAAACAAAGACATCTTTATTTGTCTTGAGTTAAGTCAAATAGGTCTCCTTAGATTCATCTCGACTACTTTGATTCAAACCAGGACCAAAATCAGGACCACTGAAATCATTCTCTACTAACCTGAATTCCCTTCAGGTGATGTCACTTCATTGTTTGAAGCTCTGGTTGTTGTGTCAATTGGTGGTTCAGTGGTACCTTTCAAAACAAACAGTCATATGAAGATTTTTAATTAAGTGGATGATGCTGATCTGTTTTTTAAACACATTTCACTCTTTTCTATATAATTCTCTTTCTTTGTTCCAATAATTCTAAATTTGAACATAAAACCTATATGACATTTAATGAGATTAATTATATTAGCAGCTTACAATTAGGATACATTTTAATCTACTTTTTTTTTTTATACCAGGGATTGAACTCAGGGGCACTCAGCCACATCCCCAGCCCTATTGTATATTTTATTTAGAGACAGGGTCTCACTGAGTTCCCTAGTGCCTCAGTTTTGGTGAGGCTGACTTTGAACTCCCCATGCCCCTGCCTCAAATTCCAAGCTGATGGGATTACAGGCATGGACCATAGCACCATCTATCTACATTTCTACTATTCACTTATTTGAGTAGTGGTTCTGACCTAATTTTGAACATAGAAGCAACAGTGGCTTTAAAATATATGTACATATATAGTCTTTTGTCCAAGGTTTCATGTTCAATGAGTCTGTGATGAAAAATTTTCTCTACTCAAATATGATTTTGAACCACAACAGCACACTATGTTTTGCTACAGACTCACAGCATCAGAAGCTTCAAGTCAAGGATCCCACAAACATTATGGACCATAGGCACATACAGGGACAATTGTGTGATACTTTAGAAAGATCATCTAATCCAGCTGACACACTGCTACCTCAGAAATTCTTGGTGAGGTGTTTTGGCCTTGCATGCTTTACTCTTCACCACAAAGAACTGGGACACACTTACACACTCCATCTGACTCTGGTGAAAGCATGGACTACACCCTCTAGGTTACCTGATTTGCTGTTAGCAGAATCTGTGGCTAATTCTCCATGGCTAGTATTGGTGAGGCCTTCAGAAACTCCTATGGTTTTTAGGGCCAAGAATAGAATATGGGGTTTGCAGAAGACATATTATTTCTGCAAAACCTAAACATCATTGAGAGTCTCCAGATTTAGAAAATGAAGGAAAAGATCCTCATAACTTTTCTTGGTACAACAATCTAATCCAAGTTAGGGCCTGAGTTTACAAATCTGCATCTGCTGCAGAAGGGCATGGATGATAAATGCATATGCATCACAACCAGAACAGTGGACCTCACCTGAACCAGTGGTTGCAGTCCCTGCCTCTCCACGTGTGCTATCACCTTGAGCTTCAGGGGTTGCTCCAGATGATGCTCCAGGAGTGCCTGAGATTTATCAGGGGAAAAAAATAAATCAGCTTAAGAAATCTAAAGGAGGGGCTTCTTATCAATAATGATCTGGAATATGCTTTAAAATAACAGATGGATTTACCCTATAAAATTCACTGGAATCAGATACTCTTTCTCAAGGTAAATAAGGTAAATCAGTTAATTCTGAGAATGCACTCTTTCAATTAAGTTATTGTTGTTAAAAATAGGGTAATCATGTCAAAAATCACGATTAAAGGTTGATATCCTTTTCCTTGTACACTAGAACTATCTAGTTTTCATCTTTTTCCCTCTTGATTGCTATCTTACTTACTGTCTTCATTGCTATCTTAACTATCCTCTTAAACATATTGCTTATTGCACCTAGATGGTAGTTA